AAGCAGAGAAAAAAGCAGCTCGGGCCGTCTGCTGTCAGCTCTTCGTCAGCTCTGTGCCGATTCGTCTGAAGTGTCAGAAGTTTCGACCCGCAGATAGAAGGCTGAACTTGGATTGGTGCTGGGATGTTTCAGAGTAAAACACGCCTTGGTAACAGGTGTAAACAAACAATTTTACATAGACATGTTATATGAAAGCGGGGCATGGAAATCACTTTTTAGGCAAGTTTGGCATCAGCAAACATTCAGAAAATGACACAACTTTCTGTATTTGGAATAAAAATAGAGAAGATTCGTGAAGTTGGATTTTTCTCACTCTTGTCCTATTCAGATTTTTTGTAGATAATTGAAAGATACAGGCTGCTTTATTTCAACATAAGCTGTTTTTAAAGGTTTATATAAATATTCATTGTTTGTAAAAATTTGCATGCAAGTGTTATCCCCCAGACAGAATCAAAAATCTACACATATGAAGTCTGTTACTGCTGATAATCTCATCGGCTCTCACATGATCTAATGAAAACGTATCCTGCATTTAATGATCTTCAAAAGCAACAGCTCTTGCTTCAGGACTCTCAATGGAATCCAGTTTTCTTCTTTCCTAAATGAAATCTTTTGTTGCATCTGTATCACATTTCCTTCATTAAGACGTCGTTTTTAGTTGAAATGCTAAGAATGCTGGGATTCTAAAGCTCTAAAGCAGGGGTGTTAAACATGCGGCCTGCGGGCCGGATCCGGCCCGCAAGCGGGTTAAATCCAGCCCGCGAGACGGTTGTGTAAACTTTATTTTCATACTTTACAATGTAGAGTGAAAATAAACGTATCTTTGTGAGCAATTTTTCTCTGTAATGAGTATAAATAAAACAAAGCTGCGCTCAAGGCTCACACAAGAACTTGAATCACATCCTGAAGTTGGCCGCCCCTCAGGATGTGACTTCTGATATTGAGGTGCTGGTGAAAGCTAAAAGATGTAAAGTAAAATGAGTCAAATATTCTTTAAGTGCTGCACGAAACTGATCTAGCCATGTGATCTGTAAGCTCTTTGAATCACTAAGGAATGTTTTTTTTATTTGCTGATTTTTTTATTTTCTATTTTTTCAAATTTTCAAGTATACTTCAGGTGTTGTACGTGTACTACACTGTCCTCAGGCTACAGCCTCGTTTTATATTGATTGTATTAAAACAAAGAAAACAATCTGAAGTTTTTTTTTTTTTTATTTACTGGTTCGGCCCACTTGGGACTAGATTTCCCTCAATGTGGCCCCTGAGCTAAAATGAGTTTGACACCCCTGCTCTAAAGACCGATTACAATCTGCCCGTGCTGCCCCTCGTCTCTGAGCCGGTTTGTGGTATTCACAGAAAGGATTTCAAGGTGGTGAAGATGTCGGGTTTGGGACCGTCAGGACTTCCAGTGGCCACTGGGATGGCTTCAGCATGGGTCTTGGCCATGAAAAGGGGTGATGGTTGGATGACGGGAGAGATGGAACAACAGGTCGGGACTTCAGTGATGGCAGTTTTGCAAACTTTCTTGGTGAATAAGAAGCTCACCTGTGGATTAGGATTGTGATTGAAAGGATGAGATCTTGGATAACTTATTGGACAGGTCAGGTTGCTTGGGAGAGGAACATCTTGGCTTCTTGAGTCAATGACAATCTTTGCAGTTTTTGTCCATGGCAGCTCTGGCTTAAGCCCGACTAATAAACATAGAGTGCTGTGATTGGCAAGACACAAAACTGTCAGAACTGCTGAGGCTATGGAGTGTAGAAGGACCAACCTGCAGAGAAACATGGGGAGAGATCAAATGCCATCAAATTCCAGTCATTCATCAAGTGGTGTCTGGCCTGAGAAAAGTCCTAACGACAACCTGTGAGTGAGAACCAAACAGAAGTCAGCTAACTTGGGTACACACATTTGAAAAGGCTCTATGGTGACTCCATCTCTTTCATACAATCTACGAAACCGCTGCTGGGTTTTTTTATGCCGTGATCTCAAAATGTACCAGTAACTGATCTCTTCTATTGACACCCTGTTTGTTTTGGCTGTACCCACAAACCCAGATGCCTATCCAATGTGAGTGCTCTACTTTGCCCCCTAGCAGAATCCTCCAGTACTGCATGCAGCTCGGCAGCAAGGATATGAACAGTGGGAGCTTAAAAAGCAATATTCCAGCCCAAAGTGTCAACAGTGGACCCATAACTGCAAAAACATGCTGGCCAAAACTGCATGCTTTTCCAAAGTGATTTTGTTATTAATAAATCAAGTCTTTTGCAGATGCCAGGACTTTTACTTTTTGCAAGACTCCTGAAAAAGTTTGGTTTGAAGTGAAGCAGCAGAAGTCGGACTGACGTAGTTTCATGTGAAGAGTGATGCTCAGAACAGTTTTCTCGCAGTGTGTGGTTCCATTTAAAATCTGCATCATTCTGATGTCTACAATAAGAATTTCAGTACCAGGCATGAGGGAGGAAATGTACAACTTTCAATTTTCTAAAAGTGTTTTAAATTTTAGGTTTTAGCTGTTCATTGTTCGCAATTCATTTGATTGATTATGCTTGTCCAAATGACAGGTTTTGTGTTAGTCTCCTGCCAAACCAGCTCAGAGAAGAACGCCTTTTAAGTCACTGTTCGTGAATCTTGTACAGGTCAACTGAAGCATTTGACACCACATGTTTGTTCCCTGTAAAATCATTAATTCCTGCAAAGTTAGTAGAATATACTTTGACCCTCTGGAGGCAGGCGTTGCAGAGTTGCAGAGTTGCAACAGTTAAAACCTACCTACCTGGTTACTCCTCATGCGTATTTCATGAGTATTTTTTAACTCAGAAGTATCCGTGAAGGACTTAGTTGTTCGTCCTTTTATCAAAACTTATTTAGAGCCTGAGAGGGTTGAGTCAAAAGCAGAGATAAGAAGCCCTTCAGATGTTTCAGTGGTGAAACAGGTGCTGCTTTCTATCTGGTCAGTACACACAGAGGCACCATTTGGAAACATCAGGGGGTTGGACACAGAGTGGCATTAGATTTTGAATGGAGAAGGATCTAATACATGATGGTCCTCTTCCTCACTCAGCTCATTGACTCCAAACTGAGCCTATTAGCAAGACAACACACCACTAATGGCACTGCTACTTCTGCTGCTGCACAGAGACCACCCAGTGCAGGCAAACACACACACACACACACACACACAGAGCGAGAGAGAGAGAAAACATCCCTTTTCACTTTTCCCACGCTATTGTCACCTTAAACTCTGATATATAATAGTGTGAAACCTGATCAAAGTCTCAGATTCATTAAGAACCAAGGCAGTCTGTTGGGAATAAATACTACTTGTGGTTTCATGTGATTAACTGATGGTCTGAGACGAGAAGTTCGGATTAAAAGGAATGAATTGGAGTCATGCACTGTTAGATGTTGATTAAATTGTTTTTGAAAGGTAAGAAAACAGGTTGTTTTTAATTGAATCAGACATCATGAAGTCCGTGTGTAGTAACTGTCACAAATAGCACAAATAAAACAATTATTTGTCGTATTAGTGTCCATTCGAACTTCAAAAATCTTTAATTTTTGTTCTTCGTGTCATTTAAATAGCTATAATTGATTAATAACTAAGTTTTCCCAGATTCCTTTTACATGTTATAGTCTTTAGTTAAGATAAACGGACATGGATTGATTTAAATTAGTGCATTTTTAGCTAGAAAGGAATAAGATTAGAAATCAGTCCGTCCTAATCTTGACTAATTATCAGTTCCACGTGCGGCCAGCAGGGGGGTGTAGCGGAGAGGAGACAGAAGACAAGCGCTTCTTCACTTGTCTCTGTTTTTCTGTCCATCTCCACTCCAGACACTTAGAGAGACAGCTACCACAAACGTGTTTTAATCCAGATGAGACATTCTGTGTGAAATGTGTTTTCTTTTCCGCCAGTTTGTTGATTCAACGATGGAATAAAAGATCTAATTGCAGAGATGCTCAAGCGAGCACTAGACATGAAACCTCTCCAGTTCGAGTTTAGTTTGGGCAGTTTGTCATTTTAAGTTATTAACTTAATGTGTTAAAGTATGCTCCTTCCATTCAAACAAAGAAAAAACATGTAATTCCGTATTCTGTATCTTTTCATTCCTGCCGCACACGCACACGCACACACACACACACACACACACACACACACACACACACACACACACACACACACACACACACACACACACAACGCATGCACCCAATAACGGCTTTAGTGAACTTCCCTCTATCTGACTAACTTCAGTCTCTAGTGCTGACTTTCTAAGAGTGTCTGGTAGTCCACTTCCTTTTGTTAAGAGGTGGACTTCATTGGCTTTATGGCAAATAGCAGTCTCTCCAGTGAGTGAAAGAGAAAAACGGGGGGGGGGAGAAAGAGAGGAGGGAGGATAATTCATTCACTTTGCGCACAAAGCGCAGTGGAAATCACCCAGGGGAACGAGGAACGCAAGAGCGGAGGGGAGAGGAGAAGGAATCCTGTTGAAGTCCACACATGGGCTCGGGAAACGCACTTCAGGCTGTTTACATGTTTGATTTGTTGTCTGTTGGACATGGACATGGACATCATGGTGTCTTGCAGATGGCGTCGTTTTGTGACTTTAGATTAAAGAAAAAAATAACATTGGCTCATTTTGGTAAAATGAACAAAACCATGTTATAATTGCAATATTTATTTGATAGCGCGTGAGGTCTTTTCCCCTCTGCGTGTCTGACAGGCACTGAGCGACCCGAGCGCTGCGCGGCAGCACTGCACCTCCCTGGACCCTGGAAACCCTCCTCCCTTCTGCACCCCTTCCCCCACTCACGCGCAGCCCAGTTCCACACACACACACACACACACACACACACACACACACACACACACACACACACACACACACACACACACACACACACACACGTTGCTTCTGAGCACCGATTCCCCCCCTCCGCCCCTCCCTCACACCACAGCCTGCCACTGTCTCAGCGATCCTGCGCTCCCTCCTCTCCGGCTTCACTGCGCCCTTTCCTCTCGCTCAACTGTCCCCTCTCCGTGCTTCAGCAGAGGGGCTGCGCGCGCGATCGTGCCACCGATACCCACTTTTTAAAAAGTGTCTGAGGAAAGTCAGCCTCTCTTCTTCTGTGCATGTGTGTGCGCGTGTGTTCCTCGCTCTCCTCTGGTTGCGCTTTGGTAAACTAACAAGGAGGTGTTAACTACTTTCCGCGTTTCCCGTTATCTCCGGTGCTGCTGCGCGTTTATGCCAGAACGGGCCAGTGCTCCTGATACTCCTTCTGCGCAGAAAGAAAGAAAAAAAGTTTTCGGTTTGTTGTGAGGATAAAAAAACAAGCCGGAAACCGAGCCGCCGTATGCACTAGACGCGGATTCCTTCACGGCGAGGTGAGTAACACTGCCTTGTTTGTTGTTGTTGGGTTTGAAGCTCACACAGTTTGTGCTTTCACGCTTTTGTGCGTCGCGCGCGCGCTGCTAACTTTCTCTCTGGGTTTGTGCGCTTTTGGTCGCTGCGAGCGGGGCTCGTCTTTACGCACGGTGAACAAACAAATAAACAAACATTTAAAACTCTAGAATAAGGAGAAATGTCACAGCACGGGGTCCTGGACACTTGGCTTTAGGCGTGCGCGCCTCACTGCCTGTGCTTTTTATATTTGTTCGTCTCTCTTTATTTACGTGACCGCGTGAGATTTCCAAAGATCCAGAAACCTGACTTGTTTGGCGCGTGCCGATGCCATTACGCATAGGTCACCAAACAATTACTCCACTTCCATTGAACTTTTTAAATGAGTGGATATAATTGAACTCAACCTACCTCCTTTTGGAAAGAAGACACAACTTTGGTGCCCTCCACTTTATTTTGGTGATTCAGTCAGAAAAAAAATAAAATAACATTCAAACTTTCTCCTCCAGCCGGTCTCACTGATCCGGACTGACCCGCATGAGCGTTAACCTGCAGGCCAGCTGCACATATGTTTAATGAAAAATTAAACTTCACTTCACAGAGGAGTATCTCAGTCTGTATTAAGTGGAAAGTTTGGAGGATTAAAGCGGATGTGGCGTTAAGAGCCATAATACCGGTCTCATTAGATTGGGTTGAGTAAAGACTCTAATGAGACGGATTTTAATGCTTCACATAACGGAGACATTTATGAAGGAGTTCTGCTTGGTTCAGGGTCTTCGTAAAAGAATACAAGTTCATTAACTATTTCCGTATTCAATTAGATGCAATTAGAGTAACTAAAATATAACAAAAAATAAAGGAAAAATAAAACCCATCACAAATTATAACACAACAATTTATTACTTTGGTTTTTTATTACTTTGTTTTCAACGTTTATGGTGAAGTAGATTATTTAAAGCGTGTCTAAGTGCGACCGTGTGAAAAACAAATTTCTTCAAGAAAAACAGACGGCTTCTAATCAACAAGCGCGTGCACGTGCATACACACTCACGCCAGGCAAGCACCTGTTAACTGGGGAGCGGCTATAATTTACATCACCACTCTAAATGAGCAGCGCACCCGCTGGAGGTCCCCGAGGGCCGCGAGCTTCACGACCGAGACAGAGAGTCCAATTCCGGACTGGGTGAAACATCAAGCTCCGCTGCCGCTGCGTGGGAATTATCCAGTATTCCACTCTGGAATTTCAGGATTCTTTAAAGTTTTACCAAGAGTCGTTTTCTTTTTTCTTTTTTTTTTTTTTTTTGTCCTTTGTTGATTTTGTGCACTCGATTTTCTTTCAACAAGAAAACTAAAACAGAGTTTTACACACATGTAAGAACAATTAATAACGAAAGTGAAAAACCATTTTTAACTTTTTCCCTCCCATTTTGATATTGTTTCCGGTGAGGCGGTGTCGGCTCACATGGACAGCACCGGACGGGCACGCGCACATCAAAGTGCACATTCAGAGGAAGAAATAATACGATTTGATGTGCGCTCGCGTGTGTGCACGCGCGTGTGTATGGGGGCAAATGTCCCCGACTTATTAGCAGTAATTTCCAAGTTGCAAAGTCCTCTCGGTGCACAACAAGCTGCGTGTATAGAAGCGCGTCTGGAGCAAAGGAGCGCCCGGGGCAGGTCACGGACCTCACGGAGCGAGATGATTGGTTTAATTAATTAAAATTAATAAAATAAAATTAAAATAAAATAAAAGATGCAGATCTAGGAATCCGGAGCTTCTCTCATTGATTTTATTGATCAGCAAGTCAACCACCTCTGACTTTTAACAAGCTGATTCTCATTTTCAAACACTTTATCGACAGATGATCAATGAAAGGAGAACAGGAGGAGGAGTCGCTAATTTATTTTCCGTGAAAAGTTGCAGATATTAAATATGATTAATAGGCATAGTCAAGTTTTTACATTTGTTTATTTTTTTTTCACCGGTTTGGAATTCACTCATTGCAATAAAATAAGCAAATAGATGAAAATGGAGATTTGATGCAAACTGAGGTTTTGTCTAAGACTTGATTACCCGAATTTGATCTGTTATTATATTCAATATTTCTTAGTTTGGGAGGTAAATAAAATACAGTCATTCTTTAACGATATTTGAAATAGCCATATTTATTTCATATTTTATAAAATGATCAAAAACATTAATTAAGTCCTCATTTAATTTATTGTCGCTGTATGACTTATTTACTGTGGTTAGTTTGCGCTCTAGATTTAAACAAAAAATAATAAAACTGGTTGAGTAAAATAACCAATAATATTTATTTATTCATTCACCAATTCATTCATTCATTCATTCATTCATTCATTCATTTATATATATTTATTTATCTAAATAATTGAATCTTGGTTTTTTATTGAACTCATTTAAGGAACAGCATCGGCGAATCGTTTCCGTTATAAAAATGAATATATCGTTTATTTCAAACTAGTAGGTCAGCATAAACGTTTGTAGTGAAAAAAAAGTCTTTTGCGACGATTTTTCGTTTAAACATCCGTCTCTGTAGGAAATAAACGTTTATAATTTTAGGCCTTAAGTTTTTATTTCTCTCCGTTCCCAACGGGATGATTTGCAGGCGCTGCGAGTAAAAAGGGAGTAAAAGAACGTGTCGATGTTGGAGGTAAAGTAGCAAAAGATGATTTATTTGTCCGCGTTTCCGGACCTATCCTCCCTCCATCTGCCCCTTTTCTCCCACTCTCACTGCAGTCAGCTGTTATTGCTCACCATTGATCTCCTCTTTTGCGCAGCGAGAAGTGAACTAAAATTAATGTCCGTTTCACGCCTCCCTCCTGGGTCGATGGCCACAAGGAGAGAAGTTTATTTCATGTTGGATTCCGAGAAGCACAAAGATTCCCTTCTAGTTTTTAATTGCCAATCGGACATGTTTACTTTGTCTTTAGTCGTGATGGAGATGATGATGAAGTTGGTGATGAGAATGAGCCACTTCTGATCACACCAACGCCACGTGGCCTTCAAGAAAAAGAGATTTTTATCTCAGCTGGAAGTGACGTGGTTACAGTTGGTTTTATTTCCCCAACTAAAAGTTTTGTCATTCCATTGAAATGATACAATATACTTGAATTCTACTTTTTAAACGAACACCTTATAAAATAAGTTAATTTTAAATAAATAATTATAGAATTATAGAAAAATAATTCATTAAAATTTAATTTTCTGCATGGAAATATCAATGCGTCATGACGCACTGATTAGCACTTAAGTCTCCTTCCCATGGCATGCACCGATGGTAAATAAACCACCAGTCGCCACTGGTTTTATAGATCCCCCCCACCCCCCCCCCACCCCCCCACCACCCCCCCCCCACACACACACACACACCCTCCCTTCACTCTATTAAATCTTATAATTATGCTAAATCCTAATTCTGTATTAAAGCCAAAACTGACTACTTTTCCAATCCCCCCACCCCAAAGACACACACGCACACAAGCACCCTTCATCCGTGCGCGTTCTTATTATGTTGTGCTAATAAGTGAAATCTGACTGTAGTGCAGAGAGGCGATGGAGTAAAATACAAGTTTTAGATAAATCTAAAAAAAAAATAATAATAATAACGCTCCGTTCTGTGCCGTGCGCGCGCTCACGTTCTCCTAACTTTATGTCATTTATTATCTTTTACTTGTGTCGTTCTCCCTCCGGTCTAATCACCATAATTAGGCGCGCGGAGCCGGATGAAATCATTTAATGGGTGGATATTGTTGGGTTGTCTCGCTTATCAAACACAGCAAAAGTTCCGCCGCGCTGGAAATTGCAGCCTGTCCTTGACGCAGATCTGCGTGTTTTCTTTCTTGTTCTTTTGCAGAGAATTTGATTGATTTGTTTAATATTCTCCTCGGATGGGAGGCTTTTATTTAGCATATTTAAATATTTTCAGTACATCCTGTTTTTTTCCCCTCATTGATAATAAAATGCAAATCAGTGAAAACATTTTCTCACCTCAGTAGCTTGTTTAAAGATCAGAAATACTTGTTTCCAGTGGGATCATCTTTACTGGACGACATTCTTCTTAACCTGAGGTTATCCCCTTCCTGCAAATACACACACACACACACACACACACACACACACACACACACACACACACACACACACACACACACACACACACACACACACACACACACACACACACACAATTATTCCTTTTATTGATGACAGGAAAGGAGAGTAGCTCTCATCCAGTCATTTTCTATTGGAGGGAGATCAGTCCGTGAGGGGATGCAGCTCTGTGTTTAATGGTTTGATTGCATTGGAGAAGGCAGACTCTGGTAATGCCGCTAGGAGGAAATATCACTTGGAGACGATATTGGCAACAAGAGAAAGTCACAGAATTAGCCTAATGGGGAGAGTTGTGTCGGATGTCAGATACTTTCCCTCTGTCTCTGTCTGTCTGTCTGTCTGTCTGTCTGTCTGTCTGTCTGTCTGTCTGTCTGTCTGTCTGTCTGTCTGTCTGTCTGTCTGTCTGTGTGTCTGTCTGTCTGTCCAACCTCATCACCACCTTTACCACCCCCCTTGCTCTACATCATATCTCTCTCAGGTTTCTTTCACCCCCCTTTATTTGTCAGGATCACACAAGCTCCCTGCTTGGAAAATAAGCTAATACACCCCTCCCTTCACTCACACACAGACACACACACACACACACTCTACACACCCCTCCCTGTTGGTGCATTTGTGCTCATCGATTGCAGACAGGCGCTATTTGTGTAGCCTGGTTATAATTTTTCTCTCTGTGGCCAGCAACTCATCCAGGCAGGAAACACGTCGCAGTCTGCAGGTTGATAGTCATATTACACACACACACACATGCACTCACACACATCTTGCCAGCTTTCTGTCATTGACCTTTGACCTCAGTGATGCGGAGAACGGATTTGATCCACGCAGGCGTTCAACAACTTTTTCTAA